GAGCTGGAATTCATGTCAACAGCACTGAACATTCATGGGGATGGTAAAAGTTTAAATTTCCATTTAAAATATCTATTTATGAACATTCTCACATTATGGTGGAATAACAATACTTATCAGGTTTGAACAATGAGATTGGGTGCACTGTATCAATATGAAAAATGTGGACAAATAAATTATCCACATATATTTTTCAAAGATTCAAAATTACACTTAATTTATCATTTAAAAAGTTATAGGATTCAAAATGTATTGTTAATTAATTGTCTTTTAATTGTATCATTGCTCATGTCTGAGGTTTGGAATTTGTTTTGTGCATTTTTTTGATTAAAAAAAATAATTTCATAGAGAATCTAATGCTGACAATTAATTTATTTAATTTAAAACAGATTGGGGGGGGGGGGGTTAAAAATATGTTTTCTAATGAAAAAATGTGAATGTTACTCCAAAGGAATGGAGTTGTATAAATGTATACTTTGACTTATTTTCAAAATTAACTTTGTTTCTGTTGTCCTCTTTTGACTTTGTCAGTTTTGCAAATAAGAGATGATTAAAATAAATGAACCTAGATTGATCCTGATGCATGCTAAGGGGAAGACGGATGGGACAGGAAAGCAAAAGGGATGATTACAGCTGTCCTTTCTTGATGAAAAATGGCCCTGAATTGTGCAGAAAGAGGCCGTTTTTATCAGCTTGTATCAAAATACTGAGGATATCACAGTAGTGATCACTGTCATCATCACTATCAGCATTTTCATCCTTTTCTCTCCTGCCCTCCTTTGATCAACATGGAGCCTGTTTGCAGCAGATAGTGTTGGAGGGAATGTGTTGAGTACTTTGTCTGACATTGAAATCAGTGGGATAATGAGAGTCAGGCCAGGTGGAAGTATAACAGCCACTTCATTGCACCAGTTTTTCAAGCAGAAAAAGGGTTTATGCCTATAGTGCTTATGTACTATTATAGTTAAAACCTCAAACCAATCCCCAAACACAAAAGGAAATCAGAATAGAAGTTTTCTAAGTTGAGACTAAGAGAGAGTGAGGTGAGGATGGTCTCACTCCAGTGCATCACATACGGATTATAAGGCATTTTAATGCACTGTGTATAACTTTTGTGTCATTTTTCAAAATGCAATCCAACATGACATTGTCATATGCGCTGGATTCCTCAGCTGGTACTATGGCAACAAAAAATGAAGAAGGATTGGAAGGAGTTTGTAACAAAATATTTTTATTAAATATCATCTAAGAGTAAAAGACACCCCCTCCCCACCCCAAAAAAATAAATAAATAAAAATAAACAAACAAAGAAAAAACAATAAAAACAAAAGAACTCACTGTGTTTGTCAGATATTTGTTTTGTAACCTGCCAAGATGCTAATCTATGGCACAAGCAATGCAATTATTTAATTTTAACACCAATCTGTTCAAAATTCATGCTAATGGGCTACCCATTTAATTCAAACGTGACCCTGACTGGTCCTCTAGTTGGGCAAACAGGTTGATTTATGGCAAAGCAGGACTGTGTGTAACTGGTTGATCCCCTGATGTACTCTTATCAGCCACTTTATTAGTTATACCCACTCAACTGCCCATTGACGCTAATATTTAGTGACTCAGTCACATGGCAGTAAGTCATTTAAGCGTGTAGCTATGGTCAAAAAAACTTGTTGAAGTTCAAACTGAGCATTACAAAAGAGTAATTTAAAAAGAGAAAATATCCACAGAGTGGCAGTTTTTTCGTGGGGAAATGCATTGGTCATGCCAGAAGTCAGATGAGAATAGCCAGGCAGAAAGTGCATTCTCTGAACGCACAACACATTAAATCTTGAAGCAGATGGGCTATAGCAGCAGAGGAGCATAATGGGTGCCACTCCTTTCAGGTAAAAACAGGAAACTGAGACTACAATTTGCAGGAGCTCATCAAACTGGTAAAATGAGTCTCAATTCTTACTGCTACATTCTGGTGGTAGGGTCAGAATTTTGTGTGAATAATGTGAAATCTATTTTGCCTCATATCAACAGTACAGGCTGATGGTGGTGTAATGGTGTGGGGAATATTTTCTTAGCAAACAATGGGCCCATTAGTACCACTTAAGCATTGTTTAAATACCACAGCTTACCTTCATTTTATTGCTGACCATATCTATGGTCAGCAATAAAAATGGACTGGTTCTTATCTCAAAAGGTTGGGAGATCATTGATCAAAGACTACTGATCAATGGCTACGAGTCCCATTCACAGAGAGTTGGGGAATGTCTGCTCTTCTGTGTTGTGCCATCTGCTTCGCCAGAGGTTGTTTGGTTTCCCCGATGTATAATTCCTGGCAGTCCTCCTGGCACTTAACAGCGTACACTATGTTACTCTGTTCATGTCAGGGGACCCGATCCTTGGGGTGGACCAATTTTTGCCGCAGTTTTTGGGGCGTAAAAGCCACAGAGACTCTGTATTTAGAAAGAATGCATCTCAAAGGTTCTGATACTCCTTACACAAGGAGCCATATTAATTAACAGAAAAATAAACATCACTGTTCTAATTCTTGCTGTATTAGCAGTAGAACAAAAATGTAATAATTCGAATTTGCCTATGCTACCTTGCCACAAAAACAGATAATTTAACAAGCTGAAAAAAACTTAAATTAAAATTAAATTAATAAATAAGTAAATTTTGGTGTAGAGACTGTGCTCGGCAGCAAATATGTTGTCATGGTCCACGCGAGCATCCTGTGTCTTTCTACTGTTTCCGTGTGTTCCTTGTTATCCGCCTCTGGGTGGAGTCGTCATTATTCCACCTGCTCAGCTCAACGGATGGAGATCTGAGGCAATCAGGAAGTCAGTACTTAAGACCAGAGTCAGCATCTCTTCGCTGCCAGTTTGTGTCAGTAACAGTCTGCAGTGCTGCATGCTTGGTGTTTCTGTGTTGTACTTGTTGCCTTGTTTTCCACTAACTTGTCTTGCAGGACGCTCACTCGGCCATTTCCCCTCCCTCCAGAGCCATACCTGCCAAGTAAGATGCAAACCCAATCATTTTCACGTTATCAGTCTTTGTCTCCCCGGCTCCCTTTCTAACCACAGTCTCCCTCTGTCCACAGTTCCACTGTGTCAGACTCCCTGCTAAGCATTCCTCCCTCATGCCATTGTTTACATGTGTGCTTAGGAAAAAAAACTTGTGAGGAACACCTTAACGCTGTTTCCAGTCTTTGAATCTGTGTTGGGTCCGTGTCCACGTACTAGCCTCCAGGCCCCCGTGACATCTGATAAATTCCCTCAGCCAACAATACACACAGAATAATTTATGTAATAGTTTAGAGAACTGCACCTGATTGTCTCCCCATGTGTCTTGCAGATGGGGGGGTGGTCTCTGGGTCAGTAGAAATCTGGTGGCATCGTGGGAGCTGGAGGGCTGCGGCTGCTGTTTTGGGGCATCTGTGGCTGCTGCCTTATAGTTTTGGGATGTGGGGTCTGGGGGGATTGTGGTGGCAGATATTGGGTTGCTGACCTCTTCTATACGGGTCTGGGTGTGGTGCCTGGGGCCCCGCTGCCCGGGACTGCCCGTGTTCTTGTTGGGTCCCTCTTTGCACTGTAGTGTCCTCTTGGCCCCTTTGGTGGGCTGGGGCAATGGCTCGTCACAGACTCAGGCCAGTCTGTCTTATTCTTTTTGTAGTTGATTGACTCAGGTGCTGATTCTGTGGCTCTGAGTGCAAATGAGACCCAACTCTGTAAACCTGACCAACCAGAGCGTCAGGTTTACATATAAAGTCAATGGAGGAGCGCAATGAAGCGCGACTGGGGGTCCCGCGAAAATTTAGAAGCAGATTTGCGTTGCGAAAACGCGTGAGCAAGTAGTGCGACTGATGCGTTTGAAGTGCGAATAAAAACACGCGCATCAGTTTTTGTGGTGCATTTTGTGCATTTGCGCGTATTGCGTCTACCGCTTGAGTTGGAAAGTAAATAGGGCTTTGGAGCGTGATGTCACTGGAGGGGGCGTGGTCAGGATTTTTGGTCGAGCCTCCATGTTAGTAGGCCAAACAAAGGGCTACAGGAGCGAAAGCACACGGAAACATCAGCTATGGCTCGTACTTGCTGTGTTGTCGGTTGCAATGTTAGA